GGATTTTAACTTATTTGAGGGCAGGTCCCTGTTCCTTTGTACCCTCCCCCCCTTCCCCCCCCCCCCCCCCCACATTAGCATGGTATTAGGCACAGGATAGATGCTGAGCAAGCATCTGAACTGTGGCTAGTGCTACTTAAGGAGACAGAAGCCCAGAGCACTCTGCTTCCAGAGGGCGGAGGACCCCAGCACTGGCCTCCCATCCGGCTGGCTCGGGGCCCTCTCTCAAATGACTGCTGTCTTTCTCAGTTTCTCCCTCTGTGGGCGGAAAGGATGTCTCTGGCTCCTGCCCATCCCAAAGTTTTAGATTTGGCTGCAGTCCTCAAAGCTGAGCCCCTGGGTACACTGCAACCTTCCCACCATAGCCCTCCCAGGCATACTTTAGGATGCACTCACCTTCCTTTAGCCATTTCTCCATATTACCTTGTGAATGAATCATCAGGTCAAACAACTTCACCAACCCACCACCAGCTACTAGATTTGATTTTGGTATAGATGGGATTTTAATTTTTGTTTTAGACCAATGTCTCAGTAGGCATTCTCTTCCTCTCAGACTGTCCCCTGCAACACTGCCTGTGATCTCCTTGAGGAAAATTCTTCTGAGGGTATTTTCCTCAGAGCCCTGTCAATACTTCTTCTAAAAGAATTAGCAAAATGGGGGAGGGAGGGGATAGATTGACCTTTGACCATGAGCCAAGTATGGGCTCCTGATCATTCTTTGCCCACTTTGGTCCTGGGGAAATGGGCCAAGCATTGCTTCCCTTGGGTGATGGGAATGTTTCCGTGGACACCAAAGATCTTTTCCTCTGCCTTCTCTCTCGTGTCGGAAAAGTGCTGGCATCTCTCGGCCCTAAAGCCAATGAGTGTGGCTCTAACAATGGCCAATGACCAGGAGAGTTGCTTCATGATTTGGGACCACAAGGCTTTGTGACAGCGAGTTGTGCCCACCAGACCACTAAAAACCCAAAGCCTCTGGACATCGAAGGAAGATGTCGACAGGATACCAGGAGCCTCCAGATCCTCTCATTACGTACCCACGGGCCTTGGGACCCTCAGCACAGGAAAAGGAACTCAGAACAAGGAATTTAGGCTAATCCAGGTCCTCTTTGGAAATATGGACCATGGTGTTGATGACAACAGGTGGATGAAGAGGAAGAGGTGGAAAGGAATGAACAGGTTAGACTGGAGAAGCGGTGAGGTAAATAAGGAGCAAGAAGACATGACTGAGAAGGGTAAGGGAGAGGGGAGCCAAGGCAGGCCAGAGAGAGGACATTGTCTCCTGGGCACAGAGCAGCTTGGGTACAGTCCCTCAGAGTGGGACTGAAAGAGAGAGAGAGAGAGAGAGAGAGGAGGGTGGCCTCTCTCTGGAAGATGCAACGGAGAAGAGAGGAGTGAAGGGGGTACCTACCCAGACAAAGAGCCGCAGCAGCCCCTCAGGGCTTTAGGCAAACATAAGAGCAATTCAGTGAACGGAAATCCTGAGGAACAAGTTTGCCTTTTTTTTTTTTTTTTTTTTTTTTTTGGTACAAGGCAAATTTTAGCCCTCTAACCCAATAGCTCCTGCCCTTCAAAGATGGGCATGACATGATAGGGGTTAAGATTTAGGCGGCATCTACAGAAATTGCTGGGAGGATCAGGCAGTCACCTAACCTAAGAGGCTGGCCCAGGCAGGAGAGAGATGGGGGAGGACCCCTTTGGACAGTCTTTACTCCGGTCCTGCAAAGTCCCTGCTCATTTTCTGCTGAGTGGACAGCATGTGACCTGGCTGACAAAGCACAACCTGTTGAGGAAAGAGCTTCATACCCTGTAAGTCCAGCCCAGCCCAGCCCAGCCCAGGGCGTGGGGCAAGGCCGGGTGGAACCAAGTTGAAAGGTCATGAAAGGGACAGGGAACTTGAACCACCTGAGGAAGGGAAGAGGAGGTCACAGAGGTCCCCAGACCCCATCTCTAAGACAGCTCTAGACCGGACTAGTCTCTGAGGAAAACTTAAAACCAGCCTAGTGAGGGCTGGTTTCTGATATATCTCTTTGGACTAATTTAAGGACTACAGGCTCACAGCATGGAACCCATTTGGTTATTGTTTGAGTCAGGCCAGGTCTGAGCCTTATGTCTCAGCCAACCTTTGTAGACTACGTAGAAGCAAATCAGAGGGTACGGTGACCCAGAACCCCAACCCATTGTTAGGTACACACACTTGGGACACTTACTGAGAGTCTAGAACCTGCTCCAGGAATCCTTGCTCTCTAACATAAAAGATGCAAGGGTTTGGGAGCAGAGGCGGTGGCTTCCGGCAGCCTCACCTTAGGTAGCCAGGAAAGCCCCCAGCCCCTCCCTGCCTAGGACGAGGCTAACTTGTGGGGCACACTGCTGCTGAACCCCACCCCCACCCCCTCCCCCCTGACAGCCCCTTGTGGCCTTGGGAGGGAGTGCTAACCTCTAAGGTCCCAGCAGGGAATCTGGCCCCTGAGCTGGTTCTCAGCATGGCTCTTGACCAGCTCTGTAACCCAGGGACAGAGATACAAGGTAACCTCTCTCTGGTTAATAGGCTTCCTATAAAACTGGAAGAAATAGCCCATTTCACAGCCTGAGGGGGCGGCATCAGCTAAAAGTGCTTGTGAAAGCATTCTCCGATGCTCAGAGACACTGAGAAGTAAGGGCCAAGGTCTCTGTGGTCTGCTTCCTTGTGTGGGCAGTTGACCTCAGCTCTCTCCCTTCCTCTGGAAATTCTCAGAAAGCATCAGGTGGCCAGACCCTAGAATAAGACCCTGAACCCTCATGGTGTCACCATCCTGCACACCGGACAAGGGAGAGAATGCTTTCGTTTAGCAAAGGCCACACGGCCTCCTAGTCACCACACCTCAGACAACTTACGGAGTTGGTTTCTGGGTACCATCACATATCTTGGGAAGTAGAGGTAATATGAAAAGACTAGAAGGAAAAGGGAAAGACGGAGGGAGAGCAGGGCTTGGTGTGGAATCAATGCCCACTCTTCTCAAGGCCCAGCCCTGACCCATCTTGGAGTCACAGGGCAAGACTACACAGAGCTGAGGCCAGAGGACAAACCCAGGGCTCCCAAGTGGAGGTGACACTGGGCTCAAGGCTTCCAAAATACCAGGAAGATCATCAGAGGTCTTAAACCCTCCACTGAAATACCTCCAACCCCTAGAAACAATACAGATGACAGGCCAAGGACTAAGGGCCTCAAGTCAGAAACAGTGCCTGTGTGGGGCACCTGGGTGGCTCGGTTAAGCTTCCAACCTCGACTCAGGTCATGATCTCGTGGTTCATGAGTTGAAGCCCCATGCCAGGAGCGCTGTGCTGACAGCTCAGAGCCTGGAGCCTGCTTTAGAGTCTGTGTCTCCCTCTCTCTCTGACCCTCCCCACTCGTGCTCTGTCTCTCTCTCTCAAAAATAAACAAGAAAAAAAATTAAAGAAACAGTGCCTCTGTGTGTGTGTGTGTGTGTGTGTGCGCACATATCTGGTGTGATGACCGTCACTACCAGACACGTCAGAAAAGGACAGTATGAGGGGCACCTGGGTGGCTCAGTCGGTTGAGCTTCCGACTTCGGCTCGGGTCACAATCTCACGGTCCGCGAGTTCGAGCCCCACGTCCAGCTCTGTGCTGACAGCTCGGAGCCTGGAGCCTGCTTCGGACTCTGTGTCTCCCTCTCTCTCTGACCCTCCCCAGCTCATGCTCTGTCTCTGTCTCAAAAATACATAAACATTAAAAAAAAAAAGAAAGAAAGAACAGTATGAGAGCCCTGGACAAGAGCCCGAAAACCACCACAGGAAAACAGCATCCAAATGAAAAGTTTTCTGGGATGGGGCTGAACAGGACAGTGCAGTTCCTTAGGAGTGAGACCAGACTGGCACAGGCCCACCCGCTTACTGTGCCCACGTGTATCCTCCGGCTCCCTGGGTCACCGCACGGTAGGCAGATCATAAAGCTGTACCTCGGGGTGGGCTAGAGGTGCAGGAGGCAGCTTTCTGCACGCACAGGGCGAGCAACCTCACACACGGCTGGGTGTGGTCTGCACAAACTGGTTCTCGGAGGCCAAATCCTTACCTCCTTTGTTCACAAGACGTAAGAAAAAGACTGCTTTCTTTTTGCTGATCTCAATAGCGAAGGGGATGAAAGCATTGCTTCGCCAAATCAAAGTCGCAGTCTCTCTCGTTGTCGGTGTTAATGGAGGGAAGCAGGCAGCCGGATTACCGAAAACAAGCAGATCGGTCCCACGTACCTTTGAAAAGAATTACGTGATTTGTTTCACAGAACAAGCAACACGTTTTGCTCCCTAGTGGAGGCCATGACTAAAAGCTGGTTTACGTTTCCCGAGCCCAGACTGACTGTGGGATGGTGAGCTGCCAGCGTGCAGGGTGGGCGCTCTGCCCAGCAGGACATCAGCAGGGAGCGTACAGGGAAATGCAGATCAAGGGGACCCCTGTGAGGTCAGGCCTCTGGGCCAGCGGGCGCGACAAAGAGATGGTCACAGTTCTTCAGCGAGTCTGGAGTCCCCTCTTTCCTGGTCTTACTGAAAGCTGGGGAATCATTTTAAATTTCGAATCGCAGAGCACATCTAGCAAGGAGCTCTCAAATCTCCTTTTGTTAAAAGTGGCGGAGCCCATCATCCAAATGATCCAATTTTAAACATCCATGTTTAAAGAAACATAAACAAGAAACCAATAAAAATGGTTACCTATGCAGGGTGGAGGTGGGGAGCAAGTCTTTTTTTTTTTGGATTTTTGAAAGAAATACATTTATCATCTCTTCAAAAAAGTAAAGGAATGTTTACAGTTGGAAGGCTACAGTGTAAAGTGGCTGATGGCTGAGCGACTCTGGCAGAAGGCGGTGGGAGGGGTGGTGGGCAGAGCCCAATCTTTTATTTGACAGCGGGGGAAATTAAAGCCCAGGGAGCCGGGCTAGCTCTCTGGGTCTTTCTTTCCAGAAGACATATTCAGAAAGGGCTAAATATACTCCCCCGAAGAAACCAAACACCCAATCCTTTTGAAAGATTTATTTTTCATTAAAAAATAAAAGTTTTCTTAACATATCTGCGTTGCAGCTTCAGGGATGGCAACTCAAAAAAGCAAGAAAAACAAGGCGTATCCGTTCTCAGGTCACCTGACCATCTTGTAATGGGTACAAAGGCACACGAGTCTTCAAACAAACTTTATTCAGAAACAAGTCTAATAATTCAGAACTCCCTTCCCCCAACTTTTCTTTGTCCGCCCTCACCAGCCCCACCGCCCCCCCCCAAAAACAACCAAAACCATTAAATTCTCTTTCAAAACTACAGAAGTTAAGTGCTGAGTCAGCAAGGAAGCCAGGCGTGCTGCCCAAGCTTCTCCATCTCTCTCTGCTTGGACGCCGGGCTGCCCAGAGGCTGGCAGGGAGAGAGCCAGAGCAGTCCTCCACCACGCCAGGTGGGGCTCGCAACATGGGCAGGCCTCTTGCACCCAGCCCCGAAGCCACCACCCCAGTGGGGGCAGGCAGTTCCAAGGCACTGTTTCCCTTCGTCAAGGGCATCCCATGGCTAAAGCAGCCTTTCAGGAACAGAAAGGCCTAAGGCAAGCCAAGTCTTCATCAAATGCTTGTGATGAAAACCACTGAGACCCGTGGGAGAGAGGGGGGCGCGGATCTCTTGTCCCCCTCCCCCCCACCGAGTTTACCAGGCTTTGGGAAGCGGCTCCCTATTCTCCCTGCCTTCTCTTTCCATTCCTCCCCATCTCCCCCTTCCCCCCAAAGAGTTTTATTTTAGCTTGATGGTGGGGGTTCCGAAGAGGCTACTGGCAACTCTCGGGGCTGGCCTGGGGGCTCTGGCATCTCTAAGGGGACATCGCATGCTTTTGCTTCCTGTGTGTCACAGAGCTCCTCCTGTCTCTGGGAGGGTGCAAGGCGCTCCTGGCTCTGGGCCTGGCTGTTCATCTTCTCTTCAGCTTCAATCTCTTCTGAGGTGGGGATGGAGTTCTTCTTGGGACGACCTTTGGGTTTTGTGGGTGCTTCCTGTCCACCTTTAAGAACCTATATGGGAAAAAAGGATGGTCATTAAATCTAATAAAGAACTTCCTCCCTCCTCTTTCCCAGTCAAGAGCATCTATACCATCCATTCCCAGCAGTGATGGCCTGGCAAAAAGGATTTTCAACTCATCACTTCTAGGGTATAAAGACATTTTCATTCGTTAAATGTTCATTACTCATTTTCCGTCAATATTACATATTTTGGCATTAAATAAAATGATCACAAACACATTTCAAAAATCCAACTTCAACAGTAAGGAAAGAAATAAAAAATTAAAATATTACTGTGATTTCTATCAAGTTGACAAGTTAAAAGAAAAAGACAGTATTTATAGCAAGCAGGAAGAGAAATACTCATACTCCAGTATGGAAGTGTAAAGGGTACAACCATCTCAAAAGGCAATCTGAGAATTCAAATCAAAAGTCTTAAAATGTGTACACTCTGACATAGAAATTCCACTTCTAGTAATTAAGCCTAAGGAAGTCATCAAAGACTGATGTAAAGATTGATCTGCAAAAAATGTTCATCAAAGAATTGGTTTTAACAGCAAAAACTGGGGGAAATATACTCTAAATTTCTGCTATATGATTGGGTAGATAATTATAGTATATCCCAAACACAGAATACTTGATAACCATTACAGTTATTATGTAGGAGAATGTTTAGTGATACGGGAAATATTATTAATATACTTTTGTGGAAAACAGGTTATACCAGCATAATCCAAACTAGAGGACAGACAACTATATACCACCTTGTTTGCAGTATCAAGATCATCAATCATTTTTAAATTTTTTTTGTATTTTCTAATTTTTTTCAAACAATGATCATATATTTCTGTAATCAGAAAAAAATGTAAGAAATATAGAATTGTATCTATAAAGAACTTATCAAACTCAACACCCAAAAGACATAATCCAGTGAAGAAATGGGCAAAAGACATGAAGAGACACTTTTCCAAAGAAGATATCCAGATGGCTAACAGACACCTGAAAATGTGCTCAGCATCACTCATCATCAGGCAAATCCATATCAAAACCACAATGAGATACTACCTCACATCTGTCAGAATGGATAAAATGAGTAAATCAGGCAACAACAGGTGTTGGCGAGGATGTGAACAAAGAGGAACCCTTTTGCACTGCTGGTGGGAATGCAAACTGGTGTGGCCACTCTGGAAAACAGGATGGAGGTTCCCCGAAAACTTAAAAATAGAGCTACCCTACGGCCCAGCAATTGCACTAGATATTTATCCAAAGGATACAGGTGCGCTGTTTCAAAGGGGCACATGCACCCCAATGTTTATAGCAGCACTATCGACAATAGCCAAAGTGTGGAAAGACAACAAATGTCCATTGACTAATGAACAGATAAAGAAGATGTGGTATATATATACAATGGAATATCACTCAGTGATCAAAAAGAATTAGATCTTGCCATTTGCAACAAATGGATGGAACTAGAATGTATTATGCTAAGCAAAGTCAGTCAGAGAAAGACAAATATCATATGATTTCATTCATATGTGGAATTTAAGATACAAAACAGATGAACATAAGGGAAGGGAAGCAAAAATAATATAAAGACAGAGAGGGAGACAAACCATAAGAGACTCTTTAAAAAAAATTTAGTATTTATTCATTTTTGAGAGAGAAAGACAGAGTGTGAGTGGGGGAGGGGCAGAGAGGGAGACGCAGAATCCAAAGCAGGCTCCAGACTCTGAGATGTCAGCACAGAGCCCAATGCAGGGCTCAAACCCATGAGCAGCAAGATCATGACCTGAGCCAAAGTTGGACGCTTAACCGACTGAGCCACACAGGTGCCCCATGAGACTCTTAAATACAGAGAACAAATTGAGGGTTACTGGAAGGGTGTTGGGTGGGGGGATGGGCTAAATGGGCAATGGGCTTTAAGGAGGGCACTTGTTGGGATGAGCACTGGGTGTTATATGTAAATGATGAATCACTAAATTCTATTCCTGAATTATTATTACCCTATTATATATGTTAACTAACTTGGATGTACATTTCAAAAACGTGTTTAAAAACAAACAAAAGGGGTGCCTGGGTGGCGCAGTCGGTTGAGCATCCCACTTCAGCCAGGTCACGATCTCGCGGTCTGTGAGTTCGAGCCCCGCGTCAGGCTCTGGGCTGATGGCTCAGAGCCTGGAGCCTGTTTTCGATTCTGTGTCTCCCTCTCTCTCTGCCCCTCCCCCGTTCATGCTCTGTCATCTCTCTGTCCCAAAAATAAATAAATATTGAAAAAAAAAAGAAACAAAAAACAAACAAACAAAAAAAAGAAATATAGAATTATAGTGTTCAAGGATGTAGTAGAGAATAGAAAGTTCTAGCTCGCTTTGAAAGCAGAATAACTAGATTAAATGCTAACTCTGTTACTTTTCTGTTTTGTCTTTGGGAGAGTTCAGAGTTCTTTAAAGACTCTGAGCCTCAGTTTCCTTATCTGCAAAACAGAGATAATAATACCTTATCTCACAGGGTGACCAACAGATAGTGTACTGGAAAGAACAAGAACTTTTTCTGAATGGCAGATTTCCTCAGTCCAGAATAGGCCTCCCACCCTCCTCATCTGGTTAACTCAGGTTAGACAGTGCTTCTCCTGGGAGCCTTCTGTGATCTCCCAAGTGGAAGTCCAACACCCTCCACCATGTGCCCTATGAGCTCTTACACTCCCTCCATGCGAGCACTTTTCATAAACCACTGTCACTGCATGTTTACTTGCCTGTCCCACCCACTCAGCCCTTGCACATAGCAGGCATTCAATAACTGGTATTGAACAACAAGCCTTTTCCTAGAGGTGAAGAAAGATATAAAGCAAGCAAAATAACAGTATCCCAAATGGCCTCTGCTGATCTCACACATTATTATCCCAGTGTGTGATGTTCGCAAGGGTACCATGACTTACGAAGGGGTAACTCTAAAAATATTTATGTGTTACTTTAGAACATAACAGACAGTCCTTCCACTGGCTCTGTACTCTGGTGTGGTTTAGTTGTTGATTTTCTCAGCAGCTAGTGAGAAGGGCTTCAGGAGTACCTGGATTAGCACAGATAATTAGGAGGGAACTATATTTTTGCTGCTTACATAACTAGCTTAATCTTACCTTCCGTAGTTGAACAGAGGCTCCTTGAAGGTGAATCCTACATCTATCCCTTGCGTCAGGCTCTAGGCAAGCAACTTCTAACTACATCTCTGCAGTCACTAAATACTTACTCTTTCCTTTGAGAGGAGCACAGGATCTCCAGTGCCAAATTGTAAGAATGAATGAATTCAATAAACCATAGGTTCTTTTTTTAAAACAGCTTTACTGAGATATAATTCACATACCATACACTTCATCCATTCATATCGACAATTCTGTGATTTTTAGTACAGTCAGAATTGTACAGCTATCACCAGAATCCAATTTTAGAACATTTTCATTGCCCCCCAAAAGAAACCCCACACTCGTTAACAGTCATTCTGTATTTCTCCCCAGCCCCTGCTCCCCAACCCTAGGCAACCACTGATCTTGATTCTGTTTCCACAAATTTGCCTACTCTGGACATTTCGTATGAATTAGGTTATACAACATGTCATCCTTTGTGACTGGCTTCTTTTCAGTCAGCATAATGTTTTCAAGGGTCATCCATGTTGTAGCATATATCGATATTTCAATTCCGTTTTATGGCCAACTAATATAGACTGTATGGATATGCCACATTCCATCTGCCCATGCGTCAATTGATCGGCACCTGGGTTGCTTCTACCCTTTGGCTGCTGTGAACAGTGCTGCCATGAAGATGGGTATAGAAGTATCTGTTCAGTTCTTTTGGGTACATACCTACAAATGGAATTGCTGGTCATAGGGTCACTACACTTTTTTGACGAGCTTCCAGACCTGTTTTCTAAAGCAGTGGCACCATGCCAATCAGCAGTATATGAAGGTTCCAGTTCTCCATATGCTCACCAATACTTGATATTCTATCTTTGTGGTTATAGCCATGCCGGTGGGTAGGAAGTGGTCTCCCGTGTAAGTTGCACTTCCCTGATGACTAACGACGTTTGGCATCTTTCCCTGTGCTTATGGGCCAGCTCTGTGTCTTCTTTAGAAGAAGAATCCTTTGCCCATTTGAAAATCTGGTTGTCTTTTTAGTACTGAGTTGTAATAGCTTTTTATACATTCTGGATACAGGTCCATTATCAGATACAAGATTTGCAAATGCATTCTCCCATTCTGTGTATTGTCTTTTTGCTTTCTTGAGGATGTCCTTTACAGCACAAAGGTTTTTAATGTTGATGAAGCCCAGTTTATTTTCTCTTTTGTTGCTTGTGCTTCTAGTGTGCTAAGCGGGTTTTGCCAAATCCAAGGCTGTGCATACTTACTCTTAAATTTTCTTCCAAGAGTTTTACAGTCTTAGCTTTTACATTTAGGTCTGGGGTTCACTTTATTTTTTGTATATGGCACGAGGAAACCCATTAGCTCTCAGTAAACACCTCCTTCTAGCCAGGAATCTGCTTGGCCACTGTACTTTCCATGCAAACAGCAAACACAGAGATATAAAGGGGACCTCTAACAAGGGATACATGCTGACAGAATCCACCTCTGGGGAGAAGGCGTCCCTATATATTCCTTTTCACATAAGTCAGCATCTGATTTTTAATTCAGTCTGAGTGTAGGCTGTTGAAAGCACCCAGATGTGCCAAGATGGAATTGACATGTTGAAAGCAGCTCCACTTGGTATAAAAGAGGTTATACAAAATTAAGTTGCCCCATATAGTAATCAAGTTATAAAAGGGCAGGTCTAAGGAAGCCACCTAATTGGCAAAAGAAAGTCCAGCCCAGCAATTAGAGAACACCACCTACACAGCTTGGATAGACCCCACCTGGCTGTTTTCCTACCGCATGAAAAAAAATAATAATAAAAACAATCAGACCATTTTCTAAATGGAATAAAACATTCCAGCACAAGCAGTAATTAGGAGATAACTACCCTCTTGGCTGCTTCCCGCACTCAACCTCTGGCCCCCTGCCTCCCAGCACACCTGAGATGTGCCATTATCTCACAACCGCCCCACTCCAGGAGCTGCACATTCTCATGCACCCTGTGGCCCTCCTCCCCAGATCCCTCCTTCCCAATGACTCCTAAAGCCAGTTTAGTTCCCTCGGTTGGGAGAGTCCGACAACCCACTGCTCTCGAGGTCATATGCCTCTCGGAAAAACAGCTTGCACACCATCTACGTCTATTAGCTGTGCCTGCTGCCAGTCTGCCTCAGAAGTCTAAAACTAGAGTTTTACAACTGTTTTTCAAATGTTCTGTTGCTGAAGATGTCAGGACAGGCCTCTCTTCCCTTCCCGAGGCGCTTGGGTCAGGGACAGGCAGTCTGACAGCACAGCTGTAATGTCAATGCAGGGAGGAACCCTCTACCTCCTCCATTACTCAGACAGGAAACCGAGCAGGCAGAAGTGGTTTGTCGTGGTCAAAGAGCAAGCCGAGGGCAGGGCTGGGATTTGAACACAAAACCCTGCCCATTTGAATCTAACGCTCATTGTGCATAATGTACGAAGGATACCTAAAATGTGCCGCTGTTATTTTTCTTTCCTTTTTTTTTTTTTTTTTAAGGTTTATTTATTTTTGAGAGAGAGCAAGAGCACAAGCAGGGGAGGGGCAGAGAGAGAGAAGACTGGACTGAAGGGGGCTTTGCGCTGACAGCAGCGAACCCAATGCGGGGCTTGACCTCACGAATTGCGGGATCACAACCTGAGCCAAAGTTGGACGCCCAACCAACTGAGCCAACCACTGAGCAGCCCTGTGCTCCTGTTATTTCTAATATTCATCTGCAGTTATGTAGTCTCCCAGCAGACCCTCGGCCACGGACTCATTAACCGGGGTGCTTTTTGCTCCTTTTTCTCTGTCTTCATTTGCAGCTCTCTGGAGCAGTGAGAGTGCTAAACTGATGAGTGTTCCCAAGCAGTGAGAGGCAAGTTCAGATTCTCCAGCATGAATCTCTTCCCAGCACTCTGTTCAGCAGCCTTTCTGTCCTAAAGGCCCAGTGGTGCCTCAAGCAGGGCTCCAAACACGAAGACACTGACTGGGAGACGACCCAGCAAGTGCTCAGTGAGAAAGAACAAACAGCCAGGATCGCTCTCATCCAAAAGAAACATTCAGCTGGAAATTTCAGCTTGTGTCTCCTGGCCTCCGAAAGCATGGATAGGTAAATGAGGAGGATGAGGAGGAGGGTGGCAGCTAAATTTCTCAGCTGCATACTATGCAGCAGGCATGGTGGTAAGAGCTTTACAGGGATTAGCTCAGTCAACACCACAACCCTATAAGGTACATGTATATTAGGCATTGTACTAACGAGGAAACAGGCGCACAGAGGTTAAGTAACCTGCTCAAGATTACATAGACAGTAACTGGTAGCATTGTGTGGAATTGTTGCCTATTCTGGAGACTTGCTGATGATGGTACATGGTCTGTGGCCCACCCAATTCTGTGACCGGGGCAGGAAGGTGGTGAATACATTTGGATCCTCTCACAGAACAGAACTGCGTGTTAGAGCTGAAAGAGATCACTGAATAATGAGGCACTTTCAGCCTGTTGCAAAACATTCTGGGTCCTCCTGGAACTAAAGCCAAAGAGAAATGGAGTGGAGGGTGAGCGTCCCATCTAATGTGCAAGATTAAATTTACCCAACCTGCTATAGCTTACAAATGCTGACCGGTAAAAACTAGTCAGAGATGCTATCTGGCCTCTGGCAGCACTATCGTTGGCCGCCGTGTGAATAACTCAGAATCAAGTGCTAATCTTTTTCCAGTTCCAATTAGGTTACTAGCCTTGAGACATCTTTATTACCCAATTAGCTTTTTCTTTTTCTCCCAGTACTTGAAGAGATAGCCTTGAAAGAGTTTTACCAGGAAAACATGAGGCAATCAGGCTCAGGCCCCCAACAATGGCTCGCTGTTCTGGGGGAGTCATAACTCAGACCCACAAACTGAGCAACGACCCTCTCTCTCCTTTTAGCTCTGGCCATTCTGAAGTAGTTCAAGTGCTCCAAGGATTTCTGCCCATGACGCTTTTCCCACCTTTGCTTGTCCCACTTCTATTCACCCACTAAAACCAACGTGAAGCCCTCCCTTCTCTATCCTGATTCTGAACCCAGTAAATCCCCCTGTTGCCCTGATCACTCTGAATGATTACTAGTTTTACAGGTCGGTCTCCTCCTCCTTGACTGAGTATCTAGCTCTAATTTTATTCTGGAACGGATGGGTTCATGACCTACCTTTGCATCTCCATTGCCTGGTGCTCCAATATATGCTCAATAAATAACTGGTGAATGGAGAGCTTGGCGCTCTTGCTTCCTAAAGGGACCTGAATGTGGTGGGCCTGTGGCACGCTGAGGTTCAATCTGCTCACTTACTTCCATCTTGCCTTATACGACATGGATAACCAGCTCACACTGTGCCTGTAGCACAGTGGCGGGTGACCGGCAAGTGACGTCGGAGGCAAAGGCACACGCTCGTCCCACGGGCATCGGGCGGTGCTGGCAGGGATGGCGAGCTGTCAATTCATTAATCGTCTGACTCACGAAGAGATTGCTGATAACCGATTTCAACAATGCCTCTGCCGCTCAGGAGACATTGATGTCGACGATGATGATTGACGGAGGAAGGAGGTGGGTGGCAGACTTGCCCAAAATCAGTCAGGGAGGGACAGGCATGGGAACTTGGCCCAGGGTTTCTAACTCCCAGATCTGGTTCTTTCTGAGATCAGTCCCCCAGGAGGTTTCCGCCATCGTTTTCACGTGTGTGTTAGCATTCTCGAGGTGTTGCGATGAACACTATTTAACTGAATCCCATTTATCCGGCACCTTCTCCCGGCACCCTTCTCACATACCTGTCCTCTGAACTCTTGTGGGCTTATACACCGCCCAGTAATTATAACTTATCATCATGTGCTCCCTGGCTGCTTCCTGGACCTCGATTCCCCAGCTAGATCATAAATGCCATGAAGGCAGGCTTACATCTTATTTCGTTACTTCCCATAATGCCTAGGACAAGGCATGGCTCACAAGAGAGGCTAACACACGTGCTGATTCACCCAGCGTATGTGTGTTTTGTACACGCAAGTGACATCTAGGCCTCGCCTCGCAAGCACTCCGCGAGCCACACGGCCTCCACCTTCATGAACATCCCTTCCACTCAGGCTCAGGCCTTCCCAGAGGAAATGATGAGATTTGCCTAGGAATTTCCTTCCGGGAAGATAAATGCTGCCTTGTTGGCTTTTTTTTTTTTTTTTAATGTTTCCCATTAATATTAATTTACAACGTATTTATTTTTCTCATTGTTAGCAGTCAACAGCAAGAACTAAAGTTTTCAGAAAAAATTACTGGACAAAAACACAAAAAATGAGACAATGTCTCACTATCTATTAGCTATTAAAAATATCTATCAGCTTACCTGTTTTCCTGAAAACTAGGGGATGGAGAATTACCTTAGCTATTCTCCAATAGCTAAGGTAATATTCTCCAGTGATTGTATAAAAAAAAAAAAATTCAGATTCTAGCCTTTGAAATGCCAGAGAAGATGGCGCATGACCAGATGGGTTAGCAAAATAGAATGTAAACCAAGCAGGCCTGGACCCCCTGGTCCATGCGAGACAAGAAAGGACCAGTAGGATTCAGTGAGGATTGACAAAGGACCAGGTGCCAGGTTTCTGAGGATTACAATTCTGAGGTTTCTGAGTATTCCTGGTCCCTAAAGAAAATAGGCTGCTTCCCAGCCTCTTTTCCCAGCTCACCTCTGTTCTCTGGGCTTTGACCTTTTCCCCTTGCAGTTTACAAAACTGGAAACGAAACACTCAACTACTTGGGAAGTTTGGATTTAACACATCTTTCAAACTGTTTTTTTTTTTTTTAAAGGAAGTTGAGTTCCTCAAAATATAAGAGATGTAGATTTTTTTTTTGGGGGGGGGGGTTGTTTAGAGAGATGTTTCTGTTCATCAGTCCATTGAAAAACCAAAGATGGAATGAGGCATTAGCTAGGTGGTAGAGCAGTATTAGGGACCCCGTAGTCCTTATATCAAGTGCATCAGAGGAAGCTGGGAGCTTGTTAGCACATGCATTCCCAGCCTTGTCACAGATCTCTGCAGTCAGGGTGTTGGGAAGCTCCTGGAGTTCTACGTTTTTGCCTGCAACCCAGGTTACTCTGATACCCACTAAAGTTTGAGAATCACTGCATTACAGGACACAGAGCTACAGGAACAACAGATGGGTCCTATATGTCATTATAAACAAAGAGTACTGACTTCTATTTTAAGCTACTGGTGGGAGGGGGAAGGAAGTTCTTTGAAAAGGCTAGCAGGTGGGGTTAAAACTAGCAACTGAGAAGCTTGTGGGCTTTCTTTTATTTCTAAGGAAACTGTGAAAAAGAATCTCCTTCTGGTCAGGAAATCCAGGTCAGGAGGAATGACTTATCTGACTGTTCAAACTGCCTCCCCCCACAGCCAGCATCATGATAGGAATCACACTCTCTGGAACCCAAACCACCAAATGGTCCTTCCTGCCTCCTTACCAGCCCTGTAGTAAGAATTTTTCCCATCATGATGGGCACACGGTGAGACTCACTCTCTTCTTTCTTACCATTTTCTTCCACTTCATCCTGCGGTTCTGATACCAAGTCTTCACCTGCAGTTGAGTGAGTCCCAGAGACTGGGCCAAGTCCAACCTAGAAGGCATGAGATACAGAGGAAGGATGAGGAAGGAGGGAAAGGGCAGTAGAGATGGGGTCCTTTGACCAACTCTGGCACTGCTATCAATGCGTGAACGTCCCCCATTAAACCAGTTCTTCCCCCCAAAACTATACTTTCCAAGAATCTCATGGATAAAACTCTGGAACCTAGAAAACAGTTGCCCACACCCACAGATACCTAGGGCAATCATCCTGGAAACATTCACTGTCTACACTGGACCCAAAGAGGATTTCTCAGCCTTGACTGCAAAGTCCTCTTTCTGACCTGACAGAGTCTTTACTGGGATCCTACACAAAATAAGGGCTCTGACCCCCAAATCCATACTGGAAAGGAAAAGTTAAGACCTATCATCCTTGTCAAAATCCTGCTCATCATCCCAGATCTGGCTCAAGCCACTCGGGGGGGGGGGGGGGGGGGGGGGGGGGGGGGGGGGGGGGGGGGGG